CTAGCTCTTAAAGGAAGGTGAGAATCAAAATACTTTCTTCTGGAGAAGTTACCATACTGCTCTTACCAAAATAATTTTTTTGGAGCACTTATGCAGTTTACATGATACAAATATGACAGAAGGAGCGAAGGACAGATCATTCTGTGATGTCAACAATCATTTGAACCATACCAGATATTAATGCATCACAGTATCTCTGTATGGTGATACAGAGATACTGTAATGCATTAATATCTGATCAACCATTAAACACATTCCCACATATCCTAACTGTAGAGCTTCCCTGGGCTCCAGCCTCATACTAGCCAAAGTCTCGATGCTGACCACAGACCAATCCCACATCTGAAACAGGCAATTCCAATATCCAAAAGCGACAGTGTTATTTCACATACTCAGAGACACAGACTTTGAAAAACACTGATCAATACCACACCGTACATCACTATTTCATGTCCTGGCAGTAGATCTTTCAGACTCTAAGAACCAGTGCTATGTTTAAATGTGTAATAGTGTATTTACAAATAGCTCAAAGAATAATACTTAAAGCTACACTATCCACTCTATCAAAATCCACAACTTATTTCTCTTCTGCATAACTCCTGGGATGCCTCACATTATTTATAAATCTTCAAGGGAAGACTGAGATGCTTAATCCAATCTAATCACACACAAGCTGAGTACCTGTCTTTAATATGTAAACAGTCATGTTACAAAGATCTACCAACATTAAAAATGTCACTTTTGAAAATAGGAAGCTTTTTCAAAGTAACATTATATTCGTTTATTTATATCAAAATCTGCTAGATAGCAGACCAAGCTTCCTGAAGTTCAACTTGAAGGAGACTTTTTATTAAAATATTTTTATTAAAATAAAATAAACATACATAAATATATAGATATTTTCTAAGGACATCAGTTTAGCATCCTAATTTTGCATTAGGATTTTTTATATGTAAAAGTATAATGTAGCTTTAAGGAAACTCAGGGATAGAAAGCTGCTGACTCAAAAGCTGGGGTGTGACATTCCTTATAAGCTTAGGAGATCCCCATTCAAACCCTTTAAAAAATGACAACAAAACTATTGCATTGTTAAGTTGGCTTTCAACCAAGCAGCTGCTTTTCAGAAATCCTGTTACAAAGCCAACAAAGAATGCTGTTCTACAGCATTCCTGATCGTCATCCAGTTGGAGCAGATTTCAATCCCAACAAAGGCTTTACATATACAAAACTAAAGAACTTCACTGTGTATACTGTAGGCTTCCAAACAAATTAAAAACAAGATTATTATAAAGCACCACACACACACACACACACACACACACACACACCTGGAGAAGCCCCCAGATTTCCCCTACAATTAGTGTTTAAGTTACGTAAAAGGAAAACAGGGTTTATGATTAACATCTTTAAGTTACCATAATTGAGGATAACTAGACAAGAAAAGGCATTCAAAATATGCAAGTTGGAACAAGACTTACAAACCAGCCATGTACATAGTGATTAATTTATTTGTTGAAATCTGGCTATATATCATCAACTACAGAAAGCTCTTGGAATTTAAATTAGTGAAATGTTATGCAAAAAAGAATAAGATGCTTTTTCTATTTCCTCAGATGAAAAATAATTATGCAATATTACAACATAAGTGAAACAATTTACTGAAAGTGGACAGGATAGTAACTAAGCACATCAAAGGTGGGAAATGCCACCACAGGTCTAAGAGCAATTACCAATGGATCACCAAGATACAACCTTTGCTTTCGTTTTTTAGCAATTCTGCCCACTGTCCTTTATCTTTATAATAGTTTACAATTTTTCAAGGTTTTAATCTGTACTTTACTCATTCAACACACACAAAAAACTGGGTGCCATAATTTTATTGTGATTTTTTTTTTACCCTAAGGCAAAAAAGCCATGTTTTCCTAGCAAAAGCTAGGAAAAATTTAGAATGATTTTCATGTTTAGGCAGGCACCATTAAGAAGCAACTTCTGAAGATATTTCTAGAGTTAGATTATCTCTTCTAATTTAATGTTTGACAGTAATTTAATGTTTGATAGATCATTTATATTTATTTTAAAATTGGTGTGCAGCCATACATGGCAAATATGTATCCCCCAGAATACCTAATAACAAATAACATAAAGTAGTATCCATTTAAATTATGTAAATCAGATTAATGCAAGAATACATATCTGGAAATATCTCAAAGGTGGAGATCAAGTTAGCCAGGTTGCAACAGATTAACTGCAACTCACAAAGGTTCCACTGGATGGCATTGTGCAGATACAAGGTGGTAAAAACAGATGAGAGGAAGGAAGGCAGACTATGGTCATCATACAACCTTGCTCATTATCACACAGGATTTTTTGGATGGACCTGCTTTCCCTGCCCAAGAAGACCATTAGCACCAATTTGGCCTGTGAGAAAGTTCTATGAAGAGAGAAAGTAGAAAGTAAACATAACCTTGAGAGAAGACTACTCAGCTAAATTTGCCCCATCATTATAGGATTATTATCACCATCTGTCCTGTGAGAAACATCATAGAAGTTAATTTGTTTTTAAATAATATCATTTTAGCTTCCAAACACTTTGGGGGTAGGATAGAAACAATTGTAATAATAAATGTATTCACTATTATCTCCAAAGAATAAACCTTAACATAGATTTGAACCCGTGCTTAGCTTGACTTGCCCCAACTTTTCCTTTACCTTTCCACACCACATTGTTCTCACCTTACAAAACATCTAAAATATCAAAATATCCACAAGAGAGCATTCTCTAAAGTAGACTTCTAAAATGGGTTATCCTTCATATTTCAGATTATAGTTCCTATCAGCTCTAGACAATATGATAGATATTCAAGGATCATGAGAGTTACAGACTAAAGCATGTGGAAGACACCAGGTTGTTATAAGTCTTCTCCACTACCATCGTATGTCATTACCCAAGTACCTTTTTAATTCTAGAAATCAACCAGAGTTCCAGCAGAACAGCAGAAACCATTCTGAAAAATCCACTGCATCCACAAAATCCAGAGAGAAAGCCATCCTAATTGTCACAAAGCTTGGGGCTTATGATCTTCCCATTACAACTGAGTTACAATTATAACATTCATCACAGCTTCCTCTCAGTCACTAACTAAATGATCCATATATGGAGTAACAACAAATTACAACCAGACACACAGCAAAGTTTAAGTGAACACTCTTAAAAGCAGCATGAGACACAATCAATCTACTTTTTAGTACACACCATCCACCTTTTATTCAAAGGGAAAGTTTGTGTAAAGATCTTTACCAAGATAAATTCCAAAAAGTCATATTCCAATTCATATTCCAATTCATGGAAAAAGATCATATGCTAATAAATCACTAGGCAAATAAAAGGTTAATTATGAAAATGCTGACTTCCTCTAATAAAGCACATTTTGAACTCTTAAGAAATAAAATCAAGAATTTTCAAGTCATATGTTATAATTACCCAAGGAAAGCAGTATAATTACAAACCTAGGAGATACATATTGTACATATATCATATACATGTGTAAGTATATGTATTATAAACCTCCCCAAACACACACTTGTGTGCATATGCATGTAAATTATATATAAAACAAAAATGACTGTTTTACTTTTAATAGACTTTTGTACATTCTCTCAAAAATTCTTTCCTGGAACTGGTGCACTAAAATACATTACATTTCAAGAAGCCATGACAGAGGAAATGTGGAGCAAGGAAACTGAAATTTCACACTCACAACAGTTAATAAAAAATTAAATATAAAGACAGTTGTGTATCTTGTATAATCCCACCACACTGGCTCTCAGATTAATGGTCAAGGATACCTAAATGTCCACCTTTTGCAAAGTGAACCTATTTACAGATTTTTCACTATTTCATTTATTTGCTCTGTCCTAGAGACAAAGTTTGACTACACGGTAAGGCCTTCTTAGCAGTGGCACTGAAAGTGTCAATTTCCTCTTCATGGTGATTATTTCTCCTTCCTTATTTCAGGTATTAAACAAAAACAATACTATTCTACCAGGGTTTAGAAACACACCAGAGCCTGATTTACATTTCTGTCGTTCTGCAGAATTGCTGCATAGTTTGTTAAGTTTGGTTTTAAATTAGCATTGCTATTTTTAGTGTGTTGAACTAACTTTAATTACTGTGTGCTGTGGATTTTTGAATGGAAAGAGTTAAGTGCTTTGTTATGAATTTTAAACTTAAAAAGCATAACTGAAACTTTTCTTCATTTGTAAGGATCAGTTTGCAGGAAAAGAAAAGTTTCTCATCTCTTTCCACAATTTGACAAAGCAGAAGTAAGACGATAATGTTTCTGAAGGCAGGCAGTGTCAGAGTACTTGCACCTCATTTTACATGCACAACTTGAGAACAGAGAACAGCTTCAGATGGAATTATAAAATACATTATTCACATACACTAAAGAATTTCTGCATAAATTAAGACTACAATTTATATGCAGCCCTCTAGCATAATACAATTCTCTTATTCACCATGTGTAACAGGAAGATAAGATTTCACAAATTCATGCACATATGTAAAAATAAACACATTTTATACTGATGAACATTTACATTACTAAATATATAGATTTTAGAATACAAAAATTTCAGAGATTTTTACTGTGTCAGCAAATTTATAGATTGCAACCTAATTTTTTTTACCACTCTTACTGAAGTCCAGTTAATTTTATTTATTTTTTAATTTGATTTATATGGCTGCTCAACTTGCAAAAGTGACTCTGGGCAGCTTGTAAATGGTCAGAAGCAAAAAAGCAAAGGGACTAACAACAACACTCAAGACAGAATAACAGAATCATCAAGCCAATCATCACATGTTCCATTCAAGATGTTTCATTTCTAGACATATTTATGTATGTCCAGAAAATAGAACTGTAGAAAAAGGGGTAAGTAGTTATTTAAAAAGCAATTTCATAAGCAAAATAGTTTTTAAATAAAAGTTTTTAAATACTTACCCCCACCATCAGTCCTCTTTAAAGCACCATCCTTGTGAGGGCACAACTCACATTTCTACAGGAAGATAAAACACAATTATGAACAAAAAAATATGAAAAATATAATGTATCAAATATCTTTAACTTGTAATTAAGGACTTACATTTTAGAAAAAGACATTAGTAAGAGGATTTTTCTTGCACTGAAAGTCTCTCTTTGCCTTAATCAGAGCTCCACAAGACATTTTCTCATAACTGCTACTAGTTCTATATGAATTTACACCGATACGCAGCAAGTGAGAAAAACCTCTGAAGTCTTTTAGTTCTGTATGTACACCACTCCACCAACATGAGGCAAGCTACCACAGATTGTCTGCATAAGACAAACTTTAAGGAAACCAATGATGCATGACATTTTGAGAGGTTCTTAGATATTTACATCTCCTCTGAAAATAATATTTTGAAACATAATTTTAAAAATAAAAAAATAAAAACACAGTATCTTCCATATTTTACAGCAATCTTCCCCAATCCAACATCCCCCAACTCTACAATTCCCATCTTCTTCAGGCAACAAGGTCAACGCACACTGGAAGTGATGGAAGGTGCAATTCATTACATCCGCAATGGGGAAAAACCCTCTTTGTGGAACTGTAGATAATGATTACTGCAGGTACCCCTCCAGCCACAGACATTTTCCTTTGCACTTGCTCACACCTGATATTTATTTTATTTTCATTTTTTCCACTTGGTCAGGTATATTTCAAAGTGAAAAAGGAAAGGTCAGACTTTATTATCATTGCCAGGTAAAAAGGAATGTTGTGAGAGATTCAGAAGGAAGTGAAGGAAGACAAGTGCAGTTTAGGTGAAAAAAAGCAACACAGCCAAGATATAAGAACTGTGGGAAGGAAACATTTAAAAGAGACTCTGCTTTAATTAACTTACTATAAGTCTGACTGCAAATTTACTCTTATAGTTTTCAAGATTATGTTTTATCTCAGACTAGCATTAAAGATGACTTTTTGAAATACATATGGTTCTTGGTTCTTTGGTTTCCCAGCTATGTGGGGCTCGGTAAATACTCAGGAATGACACTAGAGCATCTGTGACAAGACTCTACAGCAGGTCTGCACAACATTTGTCTTGCCAAGCAGCCTTGTGCAGCTTGCTGGAGTTTTGCGAAAACTCAGTAAATCCACTGCTGTCAAACACTGCTGCCACAAGGATACGCCACTGTACCACCACCCAGAAAGACACGCTGCTGAGCGTCTCAATACCTCCAAGTTTCACCAACACTGCCAGCTCCCTCCCTGCCACTGCACCACTAGCTGCTGAACAGCTGATTGGCACACGAGGTATTCCTTTGTGGCCCGCGATTATTTTTAATTTATCGATGTGGTTCTTTCCCCTTTAGGAGTTTACAAGCCTGCTCTAGGGAATACAATATTATGGGGAAAGGAAGCAACATGACCCAAAAATTAACTGGAAAAGCAAGGAAAACAGCATTAAGCAATAGAAAGCAGAGAGACTGATACTATGAAAAGCAGTAAGGAAGGTCTATGAGATGATCCAAAGGTACAGGGAAAAAAAATACAGAGGAAATTTTAAAATGTTTGGATTATGTGTGAAAGAGAAAGACTTTGCAAGGGCTGGATTAGAAGTGCTGTGAATGAGAATCAAAGAATTAAATTGGCATGTATTTTAAACTTCCATTTTCATTTCTGTCATGTATGTGGAATCTTAGTAAAATTAATTTTCATCCAGCCTAAATAATCACACCCATGTTATTAAAAAACATTCTGTGACACTCTTTCAAAACACCAGATATACCTGCTAATTTAAAATGTAGAGATAACTCCATAAAGTGCATTTTAAGAAAGTTTATTATTGTGTTGTTAAAAATATGCTAATTACTTTTGGTTCAAGGTATGATTACACTGAACTACGACCCTATCCCCAAATACAAGGGCTCATAGTTCCACTTGGTGCAGATCCTCCGGTGAAGGAATCCCATATTTTTTCTTCTAGCTCAAGAGCTACATAATTCACTGATTTTGCTCTTTCTGACATGCACTGGGGTAGAGTGAGGGGAGCCTGTGGGTGGTTGTTAGGGCATTCTAGCAGGATGATTGAGACACCAGGTTTTTAGTTTCTGTTTTTATGGTTTTTATTCTTACGGTTACAATTTTTGTAGTTTTATCATGGTTGTGAGCCACCCAGAGTTGTGCTCTAAGATGGGCAGTCATACAAATGTATTTCCTCATTTAGTGACTGTCTCGTACGGCAACCATTCACAGTTACAATGATGATGAAAAAGTAACTTTGAGACCAGTCCTCACATTTACAACTTTCTATAAACGGGTCTATAAAGCAAAGAAAAGCTGAAGTAAGATCATGAATACAGTCACAGGTTCACTTAGCGATCACTTCAGTTAGCAACCAAGTTGCCAGTCCCAATTGTGGTTGCTAAATGAGGACCACGTGTATTTTAAATTAAATACATACATACATACAGAGGTACCTCGGTTCACAAACTTAATTCGTTCCACGATTCTGGTCGCAAACCGAATTGGTCGCGAAACGAAACAAAATTCCCAAAAAGTTCAATTTAAATTAGGTTAATCCGTTCTGAACCCTAATTATTTTTTTTTAACCACAAAAATATGAAACACAGTATGAAGAGAGAGAACACTAACCTTACTTGAGCCGACCCCAAAAAACTTCA